TGCAGCCCTAATTTTTACTCAACTCCACTCACTTTTATTGTCACTGCAGCATTTACAAGTAAATGATGTGTGAAAAGTGTGTGTTCCAGACATTGCACATATGAGAACAATACAATTAACAATGGTATACAGTTCCATTGATGGTGATTGGGCTGTGTTCTCTATTCTGTCTATATCTGTATCTTTGATCAAATAAGTGCAGCCTTTGTGAACAGAAGAGATAGTAGGGTAGGTTTTACTTTTAGTAATGTGGAGTCTTGAGGTTTTTCAGCAGCATATATGAGTTTGGCTTCAGATGATTGTTTAATCTGAGTGTGTGAGGAAATGTCGCTTCTGTTTATCACTACAACAACCCAGTGTGTGTGTGTGTGTGTGTGTGTGTGTGTGTGTGTTAACAGTAATTCCCTGGTGAGAGTGTGTGTGTGTTTGAGTGTGAATGTGTCGTGTGACATTGAGAGAATCTCATCAGAACTGTGAAATCACTATCAACACACACACAGATTCACAGATCCAGACTAGGAGGAATGGAGAGTCCAAATGACAGAATTCATGTGTATCTCATCCCAGTCTGGATCTGATGCTGTTGTGCTCTGTCTGTGACCGAACGCTCGCTGTCATCTTGGCTGCTCATCTGTGTGTGTGTGTGTTGATGCTCTGTGTTTTACTGCTGCCTGATCTCTGATGCTGTGATCTTCCTTATCGCTCTCTTTTCTTTTCTTCCTGATGTCTTCTGTTTGTGTGTTTTCTTTCCTCTCCTCCCCCACCAGTGACCCCGAGCTCAGGCGTCCTCCCCTCCGCTCCCCGTGATGTGGCCCCTGTCCTCGTGTCCAGCCGCTTCGTGCGCCTCGGTTGGCGGCCCCCGGAGGAGCCGCACGGAACCGCCCTGACCTACGGCGTCTTCTTCTCAGAGGAGGGAATCAACAGGTACGTGTTCAGCTGTGGCCGAAATAATATCATGTTTCGACCAATCACATCCTAATCCATCCCCCATTGTGAATATTCATTGGTATATGCATAGATTTTTAATTTTATTGAATTGTTGTCTGCCTCAGTCTGTCTTACTTTAAAATAACGTTCTTTATGCTGACATTAGTTTACTGCATTAATTGAGCTAACAATTAACAATATATCTACAGTAGTGGTTATTTTTTACTTCAGATAATATATTAATAGATAAAACAAAATTTTTAATATATTATTAACAGTATATTGTTTTTGTATTTCACTTATGTGTGTGTATATAAGATTCAAAAATAATATAGTAATTAATAAAAAATAATATATTATTTTTTATATATTATTAACAGTGTTGTTTTTATATTTCACATGTGTATGTGTATAAGATTAAAAAATAATAAATTAATTAATACAAAAATAATATATTTATTATAATATTAATATTTTTTATTAATATTTCTTTAATTAGGCCTGTGTATTGGAAAGAAAACGTCTCGGTTACGTACGTGACCCTCGTTCCCTGTTGGAGGGAATGGAGACGTTATGTCGTGATGAAATTAGGGGTTTACTCAGGAGCCCCAATCATCTCTGATTAAGAGAAAACACCAATGGAATTTGGCTAGTGGATTTTGCATGCTGAGCCAATCCCCGTGCATATGGGTATATAAGGCGACATGTGCATCCAATTATTCAGGTTTTATGCTGAGAAGCCAATAAACTATCCCAGCAACAGTGATTGGTTCAAGGTCGTGGCATGGGGACATAACATCTCCGTTTCCTCCATCAGGTGATGAGGGTTACGTATGTAACCGAGACGTTCCCTATCTGTCGGTCACTACGAGTTAAGTCGTGACGATATTAGGGGTCTATGGAAACACTTGTTCTTGTTAGACACTTGTTCTAAGGGCACCCGGCCTGTCGAAAGTAAGGTCTGACCAGGGGCTCAACGAGCAGCGACATGCACATCTCAGGACTCGGGAGAGTAACCAGTGCTGAAGTGGTCTCATATGAAGCAATCTGAGCGGCGCAACTGCGGTTGCGGATGCCATATGCCCCGGGAGCCTCTGAAAATGTTTCAGCGGTACCACCGTCTTGCCTCTGAAGGAACTCAGGCAGTTCAGCACTGACTGTGCACGCTCGTTGGTAAGACATGCCATCATACTCACCAAGTCTAACTCCATACAGAGAAAAGAGATTCTCTGCATGGGGGAGAGCCTGCTCTTTGGCTGAGGTGCCGGAGCACCAGGTCCCTCTGATCGCACAACTGTTCTTACGACTGGGCAATAATGAGCCAGTCGTCGAGATAGTTGAGGATCCTGATGCCCACTTCCCATAATGGGGTAAGGGTACAATGAAGTAAGGGCTATAGAACCCCTGCTTCATCTCGGCTGGAGGGACAGGCTCGAGTGCATTCTTAGCCAATAGGACAGCAATCTCCTCGCACAGGACAGGGGCGTCTCGGGCTGCCACCAAAGTCTCGAGGATGATGGGGGGATGGTCACCTGGCGACCTGAATTGCATAGCTGAGTCGAACTGTCCGAATGAATGGGACAGGTTGGGTAGTGCAAGCCACGCCCCCAAACTCCATGCCAAAGGGACAATTGATACACCTACAGTGGTGCAGCAGTGGGAAGTTGTGCTGGATGGGGCAGGAGGCGTCGCATCCTGACTCACCACAGCTGGACTCCCCATGTCCCCGGAGGGACCGGCCAGAGATGCGTGGAGAGGTGTTGCGTCCTCGAGCCGCGATCTCTTGGCTGCTGGCGATAAGGGGCGTCATGGGCGAGAGTGAGGAAGCAGCGCATCACTCACTGTCACCACACGAGCCAGATAACCTGGAGGAAAAGGAAACTGCTCTTTTATTGAAGTCGTGGCTACCACTGGCTGTGAAGTCTGCGGTGGAACAAAAAGAAAAGGGAGCACAGGATTCTCCACCTGGCCCTCCTCCGGGGGAAGGAGTGACACTGTCCTCGACATCTCCTGAAAAAAAAGCAGTCACCCACATCTCTGGGTTGCCTGTGTCAGGGCCTCTTTGTCTTTTCCTTGAGGACTTAGCGGCTGACTGGGACACGGAGGCGCCACACTCCTGCGAGATGCTTGACGTGCCGGCCTCGATGTTGTCTCAGCATGGTGGCAGGTGTAAGATCACGCCGGGGCAGTATGTGTTGAATGGCCTCCGTCTGCTTCTGTACTGCTGAGAACTGCTGGGCAAAGTCCTCGACAGTGTCGCCGAGCAGGCCAGCCTGGGAGATAGGAGCGTCAAGAAAGCATACTTTGTCGGCATCTCTCATCTTGACCAGGTTAAGCCAGGTTACACTCTTGTACCACGAGAGTAGACATCGTCTTCCCGGGGGACCGTGCCATGACTTTCATCACCCGTAGAGCGAAGTCAGTCACCGTGCGTAGTTCCTGCATTAACCCTGGGTTGGTACTACCCTTGTGCAACTGTTTTAGTGCCTTGGCTTGGTGGACCTGCAGGATAGCCATGGCATGCAAGGCAGAGGCAGCCTGGCCTGCAGCACTGTAAGCTTTGACAGCGAGAGCCGCCGACAGCTTACAGGCTTTAGATGGGAGACGTGGACGTTGCAGGCACAGGTGCACCGCAACCTCTCTCTCCATCTGGGGAATGTCCACATACCCCCTAGCTGCCCCGCCATCGAGGGTAGTGAGGACGGAGGAGGGAGATGAGCGGCTTCTGGCCGTAAAAGGGGCCGTCCATGACTTTGTCACCTCCTCATGCACCTCCCGGAAGAAAGGAACTGGGGCAGAATGTGGAAGTGAACCGTGCTCCGAACCCAGGGACCAATCATCTAGAGGTCGACCGATTGATTGGCCAGCCGATTAATTGGACCGATTTTTGACATTTTTTAATTAATCGGCATCGGCCGATTGTGCTGCAAATTAGGCCGATTTATAGGCAGGCACATCTGTGGGCAGCTAAGCATTGTTGTGGAATGCCATACCGGAGAATCTCTCTCCCTCTGGCTGCGTGAGACACACAGCTTCAGCTAACGATGGCAGGGGAAAACAGGCCATTTCGACATAATTACGTTTTACCCTACTGGAATTGATGCCGGAAAGTAATCATATTCATAAGTGCAACAAGTAATTTGCATGTGAACGCAGAAACACGTTCCATTCAGACGAACCTTCTGGGCTGGCTAAAATGTGCACCTCCTGCTGGCAGAGAATCAATTTGCATTTGCAAGTCTGTGGGAAACACTCGTGTGTCAACAAACATAAACAAAAAGCATGCTTCAGAACTGTTTTGAGAAGGTGCTTAAGTTTTGAGCCATGTATTATTACTATGAATTATGCTACTACTACTACTACTATTACTATCTTGTGCCCAGCAATAATCATTTACTCAAACTTTCTGTTATGAGATGAAGCGGGGGAAAAATCAGCCAAACATATCGGCCAAAAAAATCGGCATCATATTTTCTTAATATCGGCATCGGCCAGAGAAAAACCCATATCATAGTGACTGACAGATAGGGAACTACTGATCTAATGCATGATGTTAAAATTAAAACTGATATCTGTTAACATTAGTCAAAACAATTATGTTTTATTAACTAACATTAACAAAGATTAATAAATGCTATTCAAAAATATATATTCCTTATTGTTGTTTCATGCTGGTAAATGCATTCTAATACTAAAATCTATCTATATCTAATACAAAAAAATGAGACCTTGTTGTAATGTGTTAAATGCTAACATTATTGTTAATGCTAACATTTACTGCATTAGTAAACACAAACTAACAAAACATGCTTTTGTACAATGTTTATTTTTCATGTTTAGTGTTCATTTATAACATTTACCAAGTCTCAAACAGTAAAGCAGAGTTAAGAGCATTATTCTCTCACTGATAAATGAAAAGATGAACAAAATTAGCAAGCATATGATGTGAAGAGGAGCAAAGTGTGTTTACTAATGCATTCACGCTAGAGTCTAGATCTGATTTTGTCACTGATTGAACATGTTATTTGACTGACTGTTCAAACGCTGATGTGTGTGTGTGTGTGTGTGTGTGTGTTTGTCAGGGAGCGCAGCGTGAACGTGACGGAGGCCGAGAGTCTGCAGCTGACGGTCAATAATCTCAGACCCGAGGCCACTTACTCCTTCAGGGTGGTGGCGTATAATGAGCAGGGCCCCGGAGAGAGCTCAGAGGCCATCCGACTGTCCACGCAACCCGAGCGTAAGAGTCGCACTGAACTCAAAATATACACTGCAACATGTAATGTCTGGAGAACTTGTGGAGACCTCTCAGTCACTCTGAGAGGATTGAAAGTCAAGTGTGTTTGCTGATTGTGATGATGCTGCAGATCTCTGTAAATGTCAGCAGTCCTGTGCAGATGTTTGAAACATCCCATAATGCTTTATTTCCTCCTGAAGACACACAGAGGAGCAGCGTGAAAGATTTCATTATATTATAACACACACACACACACACACACACACACACTCACACACTCTCTCACACACACACACTCTCACACACACACACACACACACACGCACTCACACACACACACACACACTCACATTCACACACACACACACACACACACGCACTCACACACACACACACACACTCACATTCACACACACACACACACACACACGCACTCACACACACACACACACACTCACATTCACACACACACACACACACACACGCACTCACACACACACACACACACTCACATTCACACACACACACACACACACACGCACTCACACACACACACACACACTCACATTCACACACACACACACACACACACGCACTCACACACACACACACACACTCACATTCACACACACACACACACACACACGCACTCACACACACACACACACACTCACATTCACACACACACACACACACACACGCACTCACACACACACACACACACTCACTCACACACACACACTCTCACTCACTCACACACACACACACTCACACACTCTCTCACACACACACACTCTCACACACTCACACACACACACACTCACACACAAACTCTCACACACACACACACTCACTCACTCGAGCTCTTTAACCTTTCTAATGGAGAGTGAGTGCTGAGATTGAGCCGTCTGACCTTTCCTGTCCAGATTGCAGCTCTTTCTCACAAACAGCCAGAAAGAAAAACACACTTCAGCTCTGAAATATGAATATGATGTAAATGTAGAGCTCATCTGCATACAGACCATTTCAGATGTGTTATCTGCTTTCTCACAGCACTGACACTCATCTCAGGTGTTCAGTATCTGAAACAGGGTTATTGTCCTGAACTGAAAAACATAAAAAATCACTACTCATCAAAATAAATAAATAAAAATAAACTTATTTTATTTCAGCTACATGTCAACATTTCTTGTTTTCATTTAGTTTAAGTTGAAGTTCTAAAATAATTCAAACTAAATAAACAAAAATGAAAAGCTGAAACTTAAAAATTATATCGGCATATTTAAAAAAAAGAAATATAAAATAAAATAAAAATGACTAAAACACCCAACAAAGAATACTAAAACATTTTATAGTAGTTTTTAAAAAGTAAATTAAATTTATTAATGTTTAAATTAGCTTTTATTTTTATATTTTCTGTTTTTAATTTTAGCTAGTTTTAGTATTTTTGTTGTTTTTGCCTTTTTTTATTATTTCTTTGTCTATATCGTTTTTTTCGGTAGCACTTTATGTTAAGGTTACACATGTTACGTGTACTTACTATTATAATAACAATAAATTATGCATAATTACATGCAAGTAACCCTGAACCAAACCCTAATCCTAACCCTAACCATACAGTAAGTACATGTAGTTCATTAATATTACTCAGTATTTAAATGTATAATTACACTGTAACAGGAACACCTTAAAATAATGTGTAACTGTTTTTCCCCAAGTCTGTTTGTTTTTAAGTACAAAAGGTGTTAACTGTAACAAAGCATAGATAATATCAGCAAAATAAAACAAAAATAAATCCAAATATAAAAATATAATTAAAATCTCACTCAAAAAACATCAGCAAATGAAACAACATTTTTGCATTACATTCAAACCCATGAAGAGGCAGTGTTTCTGTGTTTCTCATCTGTTCGATCCTGATGTGATTGTTGGTGTAGTTCTGGTTCCTGGTCCAGTGGAGAACCTGCGGGCAGAAGCTCCGTCTCCATCCTCCATCCAGGCGTCCTGGGATCCTCCGTCCCACGCCAGCGGCCCCATCCAGAGCTACAGACTGCTGTGGACCGAGACGTCCACCGGGAAAGAGCAGGTCAGAGTCCACATGATTAACTGGGAGACTAACTTGAAAAAGCACGATCGCCTCTGTTTTTGAGTCGTGTCCTGGGAACTTGCAGTAAACCAGAATCAGCGGATCTGAGTGATCTTGACTGAGTGTATGGATGTAACAAATCAGATAGGTACTGCGGAGCCTGATTGTAGAGAGACTTATAGACAAACAGTAAAATCAATTCTATATTTGACTGGCAGCCAATGCAATGAGATCAAAACTGGTGTGATAGACTCATGTTTGCGCTTCCCATAAAGAGCCGAGCCGCTGCATTCTGAACCAGCTGCAGACGAGAAACACATGACTGAGGAGCACTGATATACAACGAGTTACAGAAATCCAGTCGAGATGTTACAAAAGCATGCATAACCATTTCAAAACAAAAATGGCTTCGCCTTCGCTGCTGTCAAAAATAATGTCATAAATAGATTTTCTTTATCAATTAACTTCTGTTAACTAAATTAAATCAACATTTGGTGTGAGCATCTTTGTGTTTAAAGCAGCTTTTGTCCTCGGTGCACTTGAGTAGAGTTTCTCAGCGAGCTTCGCAGGAGGTTTCTTGAAGCATCAGTTCTTCTGGATTGAGTCTGTCTCAGTTTGTTCTGTTTCTTCATGTGACTCCAGACAGACTGATGATGATCAGATCACATCTCTGTGTGCAGCACTAACATATATCTCACTGCATTATTACAATTAATGGCACAATGAATGTTTGGAAATGTAAACTGATATTTCCTTCTGACACACTCCAGCAAAAGATAGAAATAACTGACTTAAAACCATTTCTAGCTGCTGGAAATACTAGCATTCTGATCATTTCGGCCAGCAGTGATTATTATGTCTTTAAAAAGTCAGTTTAGTAGTATTATTACCCAAGTCTGACCTGTTTCATTCTCACATTAGAAAAGATAGAATTAGAAAGTATTACGATACATTATTACAGAAGCCTGACTGGTGAGTGCTGGTGATTGGTCGGTGATGTCTGTAAGGCGGGGCTTACTGAATGCTCATTAGCATAATGTGGTCTGACTGTGGTGTTTCTTTCTCTCTATTGGTCAGAATGTGGAGGTGGTGGGTCAGAGCTACAGGATGGAGGGACTGAAGAAGTTCACAGAGTATTCGTTACGAGTGCTGGCGGTCAATCGGCACGGGCCCGGCCTCTCCAAGACAGACACGCTCATCACCACGCTCTCAGACGGTGAGCACTGAACCTCGAATAAACCCATGATTCACGACTGCGATCGGGTCACAGCGTTCAGGAGATGTTTCCATAAGCCATCCAGTTAATCACACACTAATGACGGCTTTGATGTGGCAGTAATATTCAGGCCGTCACATCTGAAGCGTCAATCAATTTCACGGCGTGTCACTCAACTCTGACAGTCTGACACGAGACGTTTGAGACACGTTTGATTTGTTTGCAGCTCCACTGCATCTGCATTCGAGAAGCAGCCAGGATCTTCCCTCGAATTCAATTAGAGTCCCTGGAGAGAGAGAGAGAGAGAGAGACAGAGAGAGAGAGAACACACACACACACCTTCCTGATCAGAAAATGAATATATTTATTCATAGTCGCCATCTTGGCTCAATTTGTCACAATATGTTCTGGTGTTGCTGCATCAGATTTGTCCAGGAGAAGCTGTGTGCGCTTTAATGTGGGAAAAAAATAAGAAATGAAATGAAATGAAATTAAAATAAAATAAAATAAAATAAAATAAAATAAAATAAAATACAATAAAATAAAAATATATATATAATAAAATAAAATAAAAAATAAATAAAATAAAATAAAATAAAATAAAATAACTGTCCTGATGTGTGCTTCGTCTGAGTCTGCTGGAGCTGATGTAGCTTACGTTTTCTGATGTTAAAGCCGTATGCCGTCCGTTCGTTCATCTCTCGCGTTTCTCTGTAGCGTGAAGGCAAACTGTTTTAGCAGCAGCTCAATGCCGCAGCGGTGTTTGAATGCTAAAGCGGGTTATATTTCCCAGCAGCCCTTCTCATTAGCTGTCTAACATCAGGCTATTGGTTTATGTGTTAACCTCAGGATTGTGTTTGCAGTAATTCTCAAAGATTCAATCACCGGCTCTTATCAGCATCACCCAGCTTGAATTGTTTGAATGGAGCCTGTCGATGTCGTCCTGCAGATTTGGATGTGTCACGGGACGACAAACGGGACGCAGAGATGTGCATGAACATTTTATTTATTTTTTTATTTTTTTATTTTTTTATTTTATTATTTAGGAGATGCTTTTATCTAAAGTGACTTACAAATACACTAAAATCTAGAATTATATATATACATACTATAGATATATATATATTTTCTTTCTGTGATGTAATGTAAAAGCCTGCAGTGCTGAAATCAGCACCAGTCGTTAAAAATCCCATCAGTCGAGCACTGGTTTATAGCCGATGTAAAATAGGAAGGTGCAGCACGTGGCTCTTTAAGAGAGACAGCGAGACGAGCACGAGCTTCTTAACATGCTGCTCAGACCTGCTGCATTCTCCCACTCGCTCCGATCCATCATGCACTCCTCTGATTCTTTGTCTCATATTGGCGTGATTTTCTCCAGATGTCTGTGCGAGCAGCTTAACCCGTGCGTGTCTTTCTCTCATTGGCCGCAGTGTCTCTTTGCATTAGCTTCAGCACGGCTCTAAGAGGCTGCAGGAATTTATTGTGTGTCAGCTTCCATTAGAGACACGCGGCAGAATGATTCAAATGAGTCGCTGCTGCTCCTTCCCCATTTCACTGCTTAATTAAAGGCCCTGGTGTCACGCTAATGAAATTGTGTGGTGGCATTCTACACACACACACTCTCACTCACTCACACACACACACACGCATACATGCACACACACTTGCATATCCATGCACACACATGCATGCACACACTCGCACGCACACACACACATATGCATGCACACACTCACGCACACACATATGCATGCACACACTCACGCACACACACGTGCCTGCACACACATACGCACACACATATGCATGCACACACTCACACTCACACACGCATATCAATGCACACACAAATGCATACATACACGCATTTGCATGCTGACACTCACGTGCACACACACCCATATGTATGCACACACACATATTCATGCACAAATAAACACACGCACACTCATATGCATGCGCACACACACGCATATCCATGCACACACACTCACACACACATAAGCATGCACACATACACACACACACACACATGCATATGTATGCACATGCTCACACATATGCATTCACATGCACACACACACATACTCACGCATATGCATATGCATGCACACACAGAGGTATGGACACACTTGCTCACACATGCATGCACACACACAAACATATGCATGCAGACACACACACACACACACACACTCATGCATGCACACACTTGCTCACATGTGCATATACAAGCACACACTCACACACACACCATATGTGCACATGTATGCACACACACACTCACACACACACACACACACACACAGTCTTTAGGTTAATCATCCAAACTATTAGTCATCCAAACTCATGCAGCGAGTCCTCAGATAACCTCCTGACCTGCAGAGCATCTCAGATACGGCCTGTTTATCTGAAGCCTCATTTACAGATTGATTGTGTTCCTCTGATGGAAGAACATCCGTCTGCTGCTGTCCCGCTGGAGAGAGATAGATTCCCTAACTTAACTAAACTGGTTAACTCTCTCCAGGGCCATTAGGTGACCCGTGGGGCGCATTAGTGTTGATCCTGATGACTGTGGTGTGTGTTTGTGTGTCCGCAGTGCCCAGCGCTCCACCGCAGAACATCTCACTGGAGGTCGTCTACTCACGGGTGAGTTATGATTCAACAGCATTCACTCACTATTTATTATGCTGCAAAACACAAGAGGTGACTGTCATGGACTCTGTCATGGAAATGAGTCTGAAGGGTTTTCCTGAAGCCTGAGTCCTGATTTGAGCTCTGTATGGTTGGGTTGAGCATGTGTGTGTTGTGAAGAGCACTCAGCAGGGCTTCATTCATTATTCATTCACATTAGTGTGTGTGTGTTTGTTTATATCAGTCAAGCTCTGATAAACCAACACTGGAGCAGTCAAACACTCATGAGATGATTCGGCTGGTCATGCAGACATCTACAGGTGATATGCAGAGATCTGGGTCAGTCTGAACTGTAGAGGATTGGATTGAATTCACTGGATTGATTGATTGATTGCGTCAGGCTCTCAGATGTCATGCGTTCATCCACACAGTGAGCCTGTGAAGAAACACTCATGCACTGATTTCATTTCATACATGAATGTAATTTCTGTGAGGTTCAGCGCACACACGGGTGACAGGATTAGCTTATTTTCTTATTCTCAGTTTATTCAAGTTTTAGTAATTATATTATTTGATATTTTTAAACTAGACATTTATTTAATTCAGTTGTATTCAATTCAATGTAATATAATTCCATTTTAGTACTTCAGCTTAAACATATTTTTCTCAGCCAGTTGCAACATTTTTAATTTTCATTTTTATAATAAATAAATACATTCTTTATATACTATTATATTCGGGTGTTTATTAATATTTTGATTTAGCTATTATTGTCATATTCTGAGTTTTCATTTTAATTTTAGTTAATGTTTTATTAAATTTGTTATTTGCTTTTTCGTCGTTTTAATTAATTTTAATATTGTTTTTTTTTTAACTACAGTTATATTTAGAATTTTTTATTAGTAATTCTACTTAAACTTATTGTGTTCAGTCAGTTGCCAATGCAACATTTTTCATTTTGGTTTTAGAAATGTTCATTTAATATTTAAATTTGATTTTATTCGGCTTAATTTCATTTAATGAAAATGATTGTTAATAGTTGTAGTTTTATCACTGTGAAGCTGCTTTGAAACAATCAGAATTGTATAAAGCGCTATAGAAATAAGGTGGCTTGACCGGTTTTGGTTAACAGTGTGTACTCCAGTGCAGTGTCTTCTCCGGTTAACGTGTGTGTGTGTGTGTGTGTGTGTGCGTGTGTGTGTGTG